ATCCTGAAGCTGAGTACTTTGGCCATCTCATGAGAAGAGAAATATCTCTGGAAAAGAAATTGATGTTAGGAAAGTGTGAGGCAAGAGGAGAAGGGGACAACCGAGGATGAGATGGCTGGACAGTGTCTGCGAAGCAACCAACATGAAATTGACACAACTCCGGGAGGCAGTGGAAGATAGGAGGGCCTGGCGTGCTCTGGTCCATGGGGTCACGAAGAGTCGGACACGACTAAAGGACTAAACGAATGAAACTACATGATGAATTGTTCTAACCTTACTGTGTTATAAATCTAATCAGCCCCCTGGAATCTGAGATGCAATGGATGAACTGTAAGGAAAGTGCAGGATATTAATCACTCTGTAAAAAGTGACACGACTAAACGACAACGTACTCTGGGATGATCAAGAACAGATCCTGCCCCTCCTCTATATGACTACCTTTCAAGTATTTTAAAAGTGCTATCATGTCTCCCCTCAGTCTTCTTTTCTCAAGGCTAAACATGCAGACTTTCTTCATAGAGTTTGATTTCCAGTCCCCTCATCATCCTTGTTGTCCTGCTCTGAACTTGCTCCAGTTTGTTGGTATCCTTCTTAAAGCTCAGTGTCCAGAAGTGGACACAGTCCTCTAGATGGGGCCCAACCAGTGCTAAATAGAAGAGGACTAGCAAACTGGATCTGGAAAACAACGAGCAACTAGCACAGACTTTTCTGTATTGATCTAAAATGATCTCGTTACCGTGCAAAAGTTAGCATCCCAGCCATGGTATCGTGCTGTCAATGAATCTTCCAGACATTCTTCTAGGACAGCCTAATGTACAGCATGTACAGGAGTCCACCAACATCTTGATCCGAAGTGTGGAACTTTTAGTCTTTCAAAAGTGGATGAAATACTATACTCAGAGAGGGAGAAATTATTTTTTAAAAGTCCTACGTGATTAAGTTTTTAGAGGATTGGTTTTTTTTTCAGATTAAGACTACAGTGTACATTGATTAAGTTTTTAGAGGATTTTTTTTCAGATTAAGACTACAGTGTACACTTCTTTATTAGTTAAGTAAAAGATTACATGAAATATTAAGCCATTCATTAAAAAAAAACCTAAGAGAAAATTACCCTGCTCCTCTTTGTGGCATTTTCCTATGTACTCCCTCACATTCTGTAGTTTAAGTTGGGTTCCACAACTTGGTATTTTCCAGATGTCCTGGATTACAAATCTAACACTTCATTTGCTGGGACTGTAAAACTCACAAACTAACATATCTGGAGAGTGCCCGTTTAGAGACTGGTGCCCCAAAACATTGATCTGAGAACCTATTTAGTTAAGCTTTGTGGTTGATTTCCATCTCTCTTCCCTTCTTTCCATCTCCATCTTCCAATCCTCAATTGCTATGAAGTAACCTCTAATTTATGGAGACCCTATTGTCCAAAATGTCCAGCAACTGGACTGCAGCTGCTCAGCAACTGCAAACTCAAGCCTATGGCTTCATTTATGGAGTCAATCCATCTCATATTTGGCCACCTTCTTTTCCTGCTTCTTTCAACATTTCCTAGTGTTGCAGTCTTTCCCACCAATCCTTATCTCATGATGTGCCAAAAGTATAACAGCCACTGTCTCCAGCAACACAGATATGTTCACTTACACTTCAGACACTGTGGATTATTTGTCTGGACTGAAAAAGGCTAATAAAGAACAATGTGTATATTCCACTTAGAGATCTCTGAGTCAGTACACTACTGGAGTGCAATGATAAAGGGCTACAAAGATTAATGAATGAATCAAAAGTGGAGAGTTCTTAATTAGATCTATTTTGAGTGCCTCTGAGCAAATGGATAACATTTTTCTGCATGATTGAAAAACTGCATCCTCTGCCTCTTCACCCACCTGGAATCAAGTGGTCCCCAACCTTGGGCCTCCAGATGTTCTTGGACTTCAACTCCCAGAAATCCTGGTCAGCAGAGGTGGTGGTGAAGGCTTCTGGGAGTTGTAGTCCAAGAACATCTGGAGGCCCAAGGTTGGGGACCACTGGTAGACTCTGCACAAAGATCAGGAGTGTAGCACATGTTTTTCTTGCATAGGATCTGAAATGCAATTCCAGTCACCTCCAGTTTAAAGGATCAGATAACCCCAGCGTTCTACCCCAGTTTTCCCTTACTACTTGTTTGCTCCTTGGTTCCCATTGAAGAGGGCACAAATCTCAAACCAATTAATCCAGCATCTTCTCTTTCTCTCACGCTCTTATTGCTCACACATACATACACAGTCGTTGCACTCTGCCTCCTGCTGCTATTGTTGCCATTATCGGCTCTGCCACTTCTCCTTATCCTGAAGCTCAGGCTTGTTCTGCGGCTAATTAACTCAAATGCCTTCACATTTCCATTTTTAACCTTTAATTTTAAACTAATTGGGACCTAATTAAATTAAGTCACCATTCTAATTGTGTTTGGCCAACATTAGGACAAAAATTAAGAGATTTGTCCAATTAATTAAAATAAAACACCATTCCTTTGAAACAACTGTGACTCCCATTGTTCCTTATGATTGGCTGGACCGACTAGGACCGATATGAAACTTCTGGAGGTATACAAGCTGCTCAGTCCAGATCAAGCAGGGACCACATTTAATACTGGATTGTGTAAGTGAGTGAATGTCCCTCCATCAAACCATGCTCCCTAACATGTTAGGTCAAGGAGAATGGTTCCAGGTGAAATTCTTCACACTGACAAATCAGTGGTCTATGTCTAAAAACTAGTCATTTTTCCCCCAAATGTTATATGGAGGACCATTCCATCATAAGAACCCTTCCCCACAGTCTGAAACAGTACAGGCCACGTAGATCTCTGGTAACTACCTTGAGGAGATTGTGGCTACTGAGCTATAAAGTTTGGAGGTGAAAGCAAATTAACTGTGGTTTGTTGCAAGGGGGAAAATATGGATAAATAAAAGAGGCCAGCCTGTACACAATAGGAACTGGCTATTTCCCTTGCATTCTTTATCATTCTACTGAGCTTTCGAAACTGTCAGCTACCGACAGCAAAAACCTCTTTTGGCAAGCAAGACACAGAGTCATTGTCCTTGAAAAGCTAGAACACCCACTGGGAAGCGGCTGCCGTCGCTGCCTCCACCGCCACTGCTTCCTGGTGCATGAATGAGCAGAGAAAATAAATGGCTGTGCTGATGGTTACCCTCTGCATATGACAATCTATGAAGTGCTCACATACATGGAAGAACTGTCCACGCAGGAAATCTGGTACCCTTGAAGTGGTCTTGAAAAACACTCTCAGGTAGCAGAGAAACAAATAGATGGGGATGTAAATAGAGATAACTAAACTAACAGTGCAAACAAACATGTGTCTATTCTGAAGTAAGAATCATTGCATTTAGTGGGGCTTTGTCCCATGTAGCCTGGGAAGAGAAGGACGAACCAATGTGATGCAGCGTAGCCTTCCCCAATCTGGCGCCCTCATTACGCTCTCTCAAAGACCGTGTCTCTTCTTATGAACCAGCTTGGGTGTTGAGATCATCAGAGGAGGCCTTTCTCTCGGCCCCACCACTTCCACAGGTGCAACTGGTGGGGACACAGGAGAGGGCCTTCTCTGTTGCTGCTCCCAGACTTCAAAGCTCCCTCCCACAGGAGGTCAGGCTGGCCTCCATCTTTGCTGTCCTTCCGAAGGAGGCAAAGACCTTTCTCTTCAGGCAAACGTTCCCTGAGCAACTGGCTACATGACAGTGACTTTTAGCCGGATTGTTACTGTATTA